GGTTTAAACAGCTGAAGGTTTAAACAGCTGAAGGTTTAAACAGCTGACGGTTTAAACAGCTGACGGTTTAAACAGCTGACGGTTTAAACAGCTGACGGTTTAAACAGCTGACGGTTTAAACAGCTGAAGGTTTAAACAGCTGAAGGTTTAAACATCTGAAGGTTCAAATCCACAGACCTGTGATGAACATGTCGATGGCTGAAGGGTCCTGAGCCATCTGATCCTGACACACACAAAAAAAACAACACTCATTTATAGAAAAGTAACCTTATTGTGAAAGGACAGGCAGACAGGAAGTGTACGCACGGGGCAGGGGTAGAAGCTCTCGCCTTTCTTGCGTCCCTCGGCGTCCTCCAGCGCCACATACTGGCTGAGGCCCGTGTGGAAGCAGAAGGTGAGGGGCAGGCAGCGCCTCATGCCCCTCCTCAGCTGGAAACCTCCGGCCGCTGTCTCCACGTCTAACAGGACCTCCGAGCGGTAGTGGTTTGACAGAGACATGCTGCCCATCAGACTGAGGACACAGGGACAGACCAGTCAGACTGAGACAGACCGCGGAAGAGGGGGATACCGACGCTGACACTGACCCCGGGATCACCAGCTTCTGGCCGTTGTGGATCCGGTACGAGCAGCGGAAATCATCAGGAAGCTTGCAGTCGATCTGAGCCTCGATCTCGTTCAGCTCCACCTCTGTGGCGCCGTCTGAGGAGAGAAACACAAGAGACACTCGCTTCAGAGACAAATGGTACTTCTTTCAGATATCTGTCAACAATGGTGTACCACAAGGCTTCGTCCTAGGACCCACCCTCTTCACAATCTACATAAGTAATGTAGGTCAGATCATCCCTGATGCATCCTTACATTTCTATGCTGACACCACAGTTGCTTAATGTCGAGCTAAAACAGTTGCTCTTACAGTCTGCATTCAACAACATCCACTCAGATTTGTTCCATCTAAATGCTGATAAAAACAAAGGGATGTTGTTTTCAAACAGGAAGTTGGTACCAGCAGCTTCAATCTTATCTTCGAATGTTGTTCCTACCGAGTTTGTCGATTCTTACAAGAAGCTAATTAGAACCAAATATTTTGCTGCGATCGGAAAACAGAAGTTGGGAGAAAAACCCCACGGCGGTGGGCGGGTTCATGGTTTGTTGTAGCTGATGATACAGGGAATGTTTCACAGATATGTTGAGAGGAATCCATCCATCATACCTTTGAGCGACGCGATCATACGAGGACATCTCTGTTGCAAGAAGCTCTTCAGCTGCTCCCAGGCTTTCTTCAGCACCGCGTAGTACTCAATGTACTGGCCCAGGTCTGAGAAGTACTGCTTAAAGAGGCTGTACCAGGAGAGACCACTCTGCAGCCGGTCCGCACTGAACACATACAGACACGTTCAGACCCACCATGTGAAGTTAAAGACAAGTTTTCATTGTGTTAAGTGAACTCACTCCGTCAGCAGCCAGTGTTTACAGCAGTGACGCTTCCACAGGGGGTTGTGTTTGGACAGCTCGTTGAGCCTTTTACTGACATAACTGCAACTGCAAACAGAAGGAGTGAGGTCATAGCAAGAGGGGCGGGGCTACACACACAAACAGGAGAAGCTCCACCCACTACCTGAACATTGGCAGGACATTTGTGACTTTAAAGTGCACAGATCATTTTACTAATTTAATGGCTTTTATTTAAGGTAGACATTTTTAAAATATTTAAATAAGTTTACAGCAAAATAAGAACATTGCTTAAAATTAATAAACAAGCAGTGAAATTTAAGTGTACACAAGAAAAAATCCAAGTAAATTTGTGGAGTTTCTGAACTCTTCTGTGTACATTAACATAATATTTGTTGTGCATCCACTGCTGATTGTTTAACCTTTTTTTTTGCTTTTATTAAATAAACAAAAGAAAAAAAACTGATTATTTTTGCGTTACAGGATTTATATTAATATCGCCTGTTAAGTTAATCACAAAACACTCATTTTCCTTTTAATTTAAAGCTTTAATAACCATTTGAACACTTCTGAGTGCCTTTAAGTCCTCGGTTTATTAAATAAATTAACTTAGTTTTCATAAAAATATTCGGTTATTAAACAAACAAAAGTAGGCAAACTTCAGCTGTTAGCAGGCGGCTAACTGTAAACAAGATCTTAATCTTCATTTCTAAAAAATAAAAAGTTGTCAAGTTAACTCGGCACCACGCAGAAACTTAAATATCGTTTTTGTTTCATTACTTTGTCTGTAAATAGTTGACAAACACCTCGAACTCGTTTTATTACAAACTAAAACAAAACAGCAGCTAGATGTTATGCTAACGCAGCTGTTAGCCGTGAGCCTCCGGCGTTTTGTTTACGTCTCGTTTTGGCAGAAAAAGTTCGCTGTCTGTTGTTTTACTGATGCGTTGTGTCAGAAACTTACTGGACCAGGTCTCTGAAGCTCAAATAAGACAAAATGTGCAACAGCGGGTCTGAAGGAAGAAGATCCAGCTGCAGCTCCGGGGAAGCTGCCATTGTTAGCATCTGTTTTAGCAGGAAGCGGCGAAATAGACACGGTGAAACAGCGCCCCCTGGTGGACAGGAGTTACTACTACACATATATAATTAAACTATTCCGTAGGTTTATAGATACAATGAAACAGCGCCCCTAGTGGACAGGAGTTACTACTACATATATAATTAAACTATTCCCTAGGTTTATAGATACAGTGAAACAGCGCCCCTGGTGGACAGGAGTTACTACTACAAATATATAATTAAACTATTCCCTAGGTTTATAGATACAGTGAAACAGCGCCCCCTGGTGGACAAGAGTTACTGCTACAAATATATAATTAAACTTTTCTGTTGGCAGATTTCTCGTTCCGCTATTTTTGTTCCGTTTCATCAAATCATAAATCAAAACGTTCAACTCTGTCAGCTCTTTCCTGCTATGACTTTTGGGGTGCAACTTTAGCTTTTTGAAATATTTAGCCTTTTCTGCCATTTTTTTCTCAAAGAAAATGAATTGAGCTCATTTTACATCCTTCAAATATTTAGATGTGTTTACAACCTTTTACTGCTCCTTTCACATTTTGTTCTGCTTCAACTTCTTTCAGTTTCTTTGTGGAAAACAAACAAACAAACAAAAAAACAGTTTTAACCTAATTTGAGCTTTTTTGGCTAATTCCACAATTTTTGCACTCTTTTCAACTTTTTTCAGCCTAATTCAGCAAAAATGTGCCCTCTTCATTTCCTTCTGATAATTTAAGCTTCTGTCTGCCTTACTTTTTAGCTGTTTTCATTTTATACTTATTTCAGCTTTTTTCAGATAGTTTCCACTTTTGTGCTAATTTCTACTTCTTTCAGCAGAATTGGGCAAACGTGTTTTTCTGCTTTCGTCTGCTAATTTAAGCTTGTGCTTATGGTATAAGCTTCTTTCTGCCTTTTCAGCTACTTTTCTTTAGCTATTTTTTGTGCTAATTTCAGCTTTTTTAGCTAATTTTTGCACAAATTCTGCTTATTTAAAACAAATTCATCAAATGTGTGTTTTTCTGCTTTCTTAGGCTCGTTCTTCCTTTTCAGCTCAAATTCAGCATGTTTGTTCTAGCTAATTTCAGCTGTTTTTCAGCAAGTTCTTCAGCAATAAGCATTCACACTGCGTTTTTGCAGGAAATGCAATTTCTCCAATTTATTTAATAATTACAACATTTAAGATGTTAACTATGATCGATACATTTAAAGTTAAATATCCACACATAATTGTGGCTACTTTCTAACTGACTTATTTAAACCCAAGTTTAAATATTTAAAAAGTCTTTACTGGTAAATATGCCAGGCCAGAAGTTTTCAATTTAAAATCCCGTTATTTTATAAAATCCAGTTCAGATTTTCTATCTTGTATGTTGTTTTTCATCTGGACCCGTTTGACTAAATGTTATAAACAAAACAAAAGGTGCACAGAATACACGAAAATTATTTTATTTACTCTGACAACTCTATTTTGGACACTTTTTTTCACATGGAATAATATTCAAAAGATTTTATGAGGGTTCAGTGCATAATGTGAAAAATAAAAGTTTCTGAAAATTTATGTTCTTAGAAAATCTGTTAAAAATGTCTTTAAAAAAATTCTTATAAAACATATTACAAATTTGTATTTTGTGTTCAGAAATTGATATTATGGTGTGTAAAAGTATTTTATGCGACAGAGTTCAACTACCGACAGAATAAAAAGTTTTTTTTTCATTCAGAACAGGTTTTTTGCCCTCTTGTGGCCGAAGCTGGTAACTACAACAACCATCAAGTTAGAAATTCAACCATGTTCAGTGTTCCTATCAGTTCTGTCAAAATAAAAGTATAAAAACGTCATTTCCGCTTTACTCTTGCAATATAAAACGCGTATCAATTCTGTTTTGTGAGGCATAACCGTTTCTTCCTTTAAACAAAATTAATCTAATTTGAACGTATTTTGATTTTACTGTGTTTAATATGAGTGTAGAGTCCAGTTTTTAAATCAACTAAAAAGAAGGAAATTATCGAGCTAGCATTAAAATAAACTAACCAGCTAGCATCACAGCTATAAACATGTCCGCCCTCTGGTGGCCACAGTGCAGAACTACATCTAGTCTAGTGTAATTTTTATTGTAAAAACAAGGGATTTCTCATTGAATACATTAAAAATAATAAATTAAAACACTGTATTTAAAAGAGAACTTTAAACAAGTAGGAGTGTTTATGTTTATAATAAAGCATCCCAGTAAAAATAAAAAAGTAAAATCAAAAAGCTTTGTTGATTTTTGATTCAAAACTGACATTAGGAGGAAAAATAAATAAATTAACAGATATCTGACAGAAAATCAAACATTAAAATTAATAAAAAGCTACAAAATATTTATTCTAAACCAACATTCAGAACAAAATACAATAAAATGGTTTTTGATTTCACCAGCATAATTGCTGACAGATAAAGTTATGACCTTTGAGCTCTGATTTGTTCATTGCTCTGCAGCGTCTACTTAAATCATAAGGAAATGAAAGCTGCTGTCAGACAAACATCACCCAGATTTCAGACTGCTGCAGGTTTTGGACACAGAAAGTTCACTTCAAGAATGACTCCAGTAAGATGAATTATAATTTATATTTATTTCCCTCATTTACCTCAAAAGGAATCTATAAGATCTCATGATTAAATCAGATCAAATCAGATTTTTCTTTTTGTTTTGAAGCATTACGCTCAGATCAACAAGGATATACACTACTCTATAAGGAGAAATAGAACTTAATCAAAAATCACCAGTGAAAATTATTCAAATCATTATTTAAAATGTTGATAAGTGTAATTTACAAAAAAATGTCTAATTGTCACTGCTGAAGTAGGGAGATTTGTATTTAATATAGCCTGTACTAGTTTAAATAATTAATTATTTGTACCGTCTGTGAAGTGTAGTTAGGTATTTAATCAAACTTTTGATAATGTCACAATTTGAAATGATCATTTTTAGAAGTGTAAAACTTAATAAAAATGTCATGAATTTATTAAAGTGTTATTTAGTGCTTACATTTACATGATTTTAACAAAAAAACATTAGTTGTAATCAACCCAATAGGTAACCGTAATTTTCTTTCTTTTGTCAGACTGTTTTCAGATCACTTTGAATCCAAGCTGTTTCCAAAATGAGAAGGTAAAGTTGTCAACATTTTAAACTTGTTGTCTTTCCTGTCTGGAAGTCATTAAACTCTGTAGAATTGTAGATGGAGCTTTAGACCTGAAGGCAGAGTTTTATTGACGCTGTACTTTGACTGGAATGAACTGCCAAACTGGTTTATTGGGTTTTATGAACGCCTATAAAATAAAATAAAAATAAACATAAAAAAAACGTGCTCATTGTTCAGGCCTATATATTCAACTCAATTCAGTTTATTTCTATAGCGCCAAGTCACAACAGAAGTCGTCTCAGGGCACTGAACAGAAACATTCATATATAAAAATAACAATTTAACGTTATTTATCTGAGGAGCAGACTGCTTTGAGTTTAACTCCATCACAGAACTCTCATCTTGAGCAAGCATGAAGGCGACAGTGGAAAGGAAAAACTCCCTCATGAGGAAGAAACCTTTAGCAGAACCAGCTCAGGACAAGCGACCATCTGATTCGACCGGCTGGGTTCGAGAGGAACAGATACACAATGGCAGGTCAAGAATCACATGTTGATAGAAATAGTATCAAATGAAAACTATTCAATTTTAAGAAATGAGGTCAATTTGTCCTCCATTAGTCTAAGCCTATAGCAGCCAACCCTAACTATAGGATTTATCAAAAAGGAAAGTTTTAATCCCAGTCTTAAAACTGGACAATGTGTCAGCCTCACGGACAGAAACTGGAAGTTGGTTCCACAAGAGAGGAGCCTGATAACTGAAAGATCTTCCTCCCATTCTGCTTTTGGAAACTCTAGGAACCGTAAGTAAGCCTGCAGTCTGAGAGTGAAGTGCTCTGTTAGGAAAATATGAAACAACAAGATCTCGAATATAAGATCTCTCAGGTCTCTCTTGTAAATGAGTCCTCGAGTCTCAATGGGATTTACCTGTCTAAATAAAGGTTGAATGAAAAAAGATGGAGCTAGGTTGTTGATGGCTTTGTAGGTTAGAAGTAGGATTTTGAATTAAATTCTGGATTTGACAGGGAGCCAGTGGAGAGAAGCTAAAACTGGAGAGATATGATCTCTCCTACTAACTCCAGTTAAGACTCTGGCAGCAGCATTTTGGATCAACTAAAGATGTTTTTAAGAAGTATTTGGACACCCAGATAATAAACCATTGCAATAGTCCAGTCTAGACGTGACAAATGCATGATCCAGTTTTTCTGCATCATTTTTAGATGTTTCTAATTTTAGTGATATTGCGCAGATGGAAGAAGGCGGTTCTTGTAACGTTTTTAATGTGGGGGATAAAAGACATGTCCTGATCAAAAATAACACCAAGATTTTTAACATTAGAGCTGGAGGACAGATTAATGTCATCTAAGGAGGGAGAAAGACTGAAAAATTAATTCCTAAGATGCTCAGGTCCAAAAACTAAAACCTCAGTCTTGTCTGTGTTCAAAAGCAGAAAATTTAGGGTCATCCAGGTTTTTATAAGTAGCTGATTGGATTCATTGGGTTTCATGGACAAATATAACTGTGTATCATCAGCATAACAATGAAAATGTATCCCATGCTGTTTAATAACTTTACCTAATAGAAGCATAAGGTAAAGAGTATTGGTCCAAGCACTGAACCTTGAGGAACTCCATGACTAACTTTCATGTATGAAGAAGATTCATTATTTACATTTACTCATTGGAATATATCACATAAATATGATTTAAACCATTTTAGAGCCGTTCCTGTAATTTTAACATCATATTCAAGCCTCTGTAGTAAAATATTGTGATCAACTGTATCAAATGCAGCACTGAGGTCTAACAGGACCAGTGAAGACACCTGTCCATTGTCAGAGGCCGTGAGAATATCATTAGTAACTTTCACCAGTGCAGATTCAGTGCTATGATGAGCTCTAAACCCTGACTGAAACTCTTCAAACAGATTATTTCTTTGCAGATGTTTTTTGTTATTTTAAATAACTTGTACTGCAGTTGGATGCTTTTCTATTTATTTAACTGCTGAAATTTGTGGAAAAAAATACTAAACATATTTATTTAATCTCATTTGTTTGACACATTATCGTAACCTTCTTTGTTTGATTTACAGCATTTATCTGGCTGCTGGAGACACTTTAAAAACAACAAACAAGTAAAAAACAACATAAAAAAACTCCATAAACAATCACAATAGTTTCTTTTTTTTTTTTTTGCACAAGATTCTGAGTGCAAATAGTAACAGAAAAAGTTCATAAAAACACGTTTAAATTTCCCGTCTTTGCAACAATGACGCTTTTCTTCCTCCTGCTCTGCAGTTCCACCTTTTCAGTGAATAATCCGTTGGGCTGAGTTACATTTTAAACAGTTTTATGACTCTGACAAGAAATCAAAAGAACTGTCTTTAAAACAAGAAAACAGCTTTGTGCCTTTTGTTTTATTGTATTATCGTAAAGGTAATATTTTAACTGTTTGTCCACAATGACAGGAATTCATTTTGCTTCCTTGTGTGTGTTTTGGGTTTACAGCTTTGAACTTCTTCAAGGAAGTTAATAAATGTTCAGTGATTCCGGTTTATCTCAGGTCTAATTTAGTTCCATTTCCAGGAGAACCTCTTGACAAACACTAATAAATGATCAAAAAGGAATGATTAGGACAGAGCTGGACACGTTTCCTGGGTCTATTGCGCTTCAAACAGCCGAGCACGAGCTGTTATTAAAAGTAAAACCTAACTGTTTCAAATCCGGCTCTAAATAAATGTTTTTTGTTGTTGTCAGGCTTTCACAGAAAAGGGCAGAGTCCCCAGAAGCCAGCGTCATGTCCCTGAAGAGTGACCAGTCCGCGGGTCAGCCTCTGAACTTTAGAGACAAACGGGACGTTTTTGCTTCAAGGTGAAGATTTGCATCTTTAAAGCTTGGTACTCAACAAAACAGAAGTCCAATTGTTTTTCTTGTCGCAGGGTCCAGTTGTTTTAAACTTTAAGGATTTGCATCCGCTACACTTAGAACTATCACTCAGAATGTGGTCCATCTCCAGCTCCTCATTTGATTCTACATCTTTACAGGAATGCTCTTGAGAAGAAAGATCCCTCAGGACTCAGCTCTGTCTCCCTGAGGAGTGACCAATCTGCAGGTCATCCAATAAACTTCAAAAACACACCAGAGTCATCTCAAACAAGGTGAAGGTTTAAATCTGACAGATCAGTCAGACAAAGTTCATTTCCTCACAATAAATCAAAAGTAGTACAAGTTTTGCTTGATGTCTTAACTTCAGTTTCCTCAGGAAAGACCCCTCATTAGGGTTAGGGTTAGGGTTAGGGTTAGGGTTGTATCCATGAAAAGTGACCCATCCATGGATTATCCTGTGAACATGAAAGATAGGTTTGTCTTTCAAAGATTATCAAGTAAACTGTATCAAGATTTAACTCTGAAACTCTTTAATCTGTTGTGTTTCTCTTGGTTTGTTTAGATTAAGCAAGGAGAAGACAGAGACATTCTGCAAACTGACCTTCCAGACGTCAACAGAAGTGGATTTCATCTTCCAGGTTTCAGAGCTCCTTTCACAAAAAATAATAAGATTGTCACAGAGGACAAGTTATAAATGTTATAAGTAAAAAACAAAAAACTTGACTTGTCTAATGAACTTTTTCAAATGTTGAACAACTTTTTAAATTAGCTAAATGCTTCGCCTCAAATGACTCATGGAAAAATGATAAAGATTTCTAAACCTTTAATCCAGCTTTAAAACGGTCAGCCAGCCATCAAATATCTTCCGCTAGTTCTGGAGACCTCTTCCAGCTCTTCTAGGAGGATTTCAAGGTGCTCTCAGTCGAGCTGTGAAACATAGCCTCTCTAACTTGTCATGGGTGCGTGATGGCCTAGTTCTCCTCCCAGTTGGACATGCCAAGAAAACTTCCCTAGGGAGGCATCTAAGTGGGGGATCCTTACCAGATGTTTGAACCATCTCAACTGGCTCTTCTCGATGTGGAGGAGCAGTGTGTCTACTTCGAGTCTCTCCCGGGTAAATTAACTTCTTACCCTATCTCTAAGGGAAAGTCCATTTATTCTGAAAAAAACCCAAAACAACTAGCTTCAACTGCTTATATCCGTTATCTTGTTTTTTCTGTTATCCAAAGTTTGTGACCATAAGTGAGGGCAAGAACGTAGACCGACCAGTAAACACTGAGCTTCGCCTAGTAGCTCAGCTGCCTCTTGGTGGTGGTGATAGTGTTTAAAAGTTAGTCTATTCAGCAGATAGCCTGACCCACAGTTACATTGAACATTAATTAAAATATTAGTGTCTGAAACATTAATTAGTCTACAGTAATGCATTATTAACCTTTATTTAACTAGGCAAATACCACTGAGATCACATATCTCTTTTGCAAGGGAGGCCTGGGCCTGAAGCAGCCTAATATGCGTATTTTTGGTTTGTGGGAGGAAACTGGAGTACGTGGAGAAAACCCATGCAAGCACGAGAAGAACATGCAAACTCCACACAGAAAGACCCCATTTCCAACTGGGGATTGAACCCAGGACCTTCTTTCTGTGAGGCAACAGTGCTAACTACTGAGCCATCATGGTGCTGAAACTAATTAGTTGTCAGATGGTAGAAGTAGCACTTTGAGGATCTTCTTAATCCAGCCACCAGATCCAGCTTTAATGAGATAGATTCTGAGGACTTTTATGCTATCTCGAAGGGTTAGTCCAGCTACCTACAGAGGAAACTAATCTCATCTGACTGTATCCATGATCTCAATTTTTAGGTCACTTTCCCAATTTCATGACCACAGGTAAAATTAAGAACATGGAGAGATCAATAAACAGAGCGCTTCACCTTGCAGCTCAGTTTTCTTTTCACCACAACAGACCAGCACTGACGGTCAAATACCTTCTCCAACTCTACAAAAACATATAGACTGGATGGGCAAATTTTCACACCCCTTCCACCCCTAGTTAGGGTAAACAGTTGATCCACTGTTCCACAGCCAGGTACAATCCAAGGTACAATCATCGATTGGAAGCTCTTCTCCAGCACGGCTGAATAGACCTTACCAGGGAGGCTAAGGAGAGTGACGCCTGTATAATTGAAAAACAACCATCAGTCCCTGTTTTTTGAAGAAGGGAACCACAATCCAAGTTTGCCAATACAGTAGCACTGCCAATAAGTATTACTTCCACCATGTGATGACATCCCTGGTTGAAGTCAACAGCACCCCACTTTCACTATACAATGAATTGGTAAAATGCTGCTTTCCCCACCTCAACCACATGATGGTTTGCCAGAATCTCCTTGGAGCTGATCAAGAGTCTCTGTCCAAGGCCTCAACAAACGTCTCCCACATCCAAACTTTTACCAAAGCAACAGCCAGGGCTGTAGCCCGCTTGGCATGCCAATACACCTCTGCTGTCTCCAGAGTCTTACCAGCCATCAAAGCTTGATAGGACTCCTCCTTCAGCTTGATGGCCTGTCTGATCCTGGGGTAGCCACCACCGAGTTATAGGATGGCTACCGTGAGAGGCACTAACTAACTTGCGGCCACAGCTCAAGGCAGCCACCTCAACAATAGTTGCATGAAACATGGCCCGCTCGGTCTAAATGTCTCCTGCCTCCACTGGGATGTGGTTAAGTTCTCTCTGAGGTATGAGTTGAAGACCCTTTTGTTGGGTTCTTTTGCCAGGTATTCCCAGCAAACCTTTACTACATATTTGGGTCTACTGGGTCTGTCTGGCATCCACCCGGCATCTGATCCATCCAACTCTGATGAAAACATACAGATGTGGATTACATGACATGACTACAAAGTCTATCATTGATATGTGGCCTAGAGTGTCATGTGCTGTGCGTACTTATGGGCACCCTTATGCTCAAACATGGTGTTTGTGATGGAAAACCTGTGCCTAGCACAGAAGTCCAACAACAGAATGTAGCTCGAGTTCAGATCAGAGATGCCTTTCCTTTCATTTGCGCCCCTCTAGGTCATACTGTCACTACCCATATAGGTATTGAAGTCCCTCAGCAGAAATAAGGAGGTCCCAGCTGGAGCACCTTCCCACTAAGGACTCCAAGAAGGCTGGACATTCTGAACTAATGTTTGCTGTGTAGGCATAAACAACAGTCAGAGCTTGTCCCCCACCACCAAAAGGCATGGAGAAGCTACCCTCTCATCTACCGGAGAAAACTCCAATGCACAGACACCAAGCTGGAGGCTTATAAATAGACACATACCAGCCTGTGGCCTCTCACCATGGGAAACTCTAGAGTGGAATAAGGTCCAGCCCCTCTCAAGGAGATTGGTTCCAGAGCTCATGCTGTGCATCAGTGTTAGCTCGACTATATCTACCTCTAAAAGTTACATACAAGCTTAGGCTCCTTCCCCACTAAGAAGTCCCAAGAGCTAGCATTGGTAAGCCAGGGTCAGAGTGCCAAGTCTCCCATATTTGGCTACCAACCATGGCACTGTGCACTGTGCACTCAACTTGTATTGTCCCTGTAGGTGGAAGTCCCACAGGAAGGGAAATCCATGTAACTCATTTGAGCTGAGTTCAATCAAATCAAGGTCTTTGTTGTTCTAAGTCCATACAAGTATCCAAACTCTAGCTGTAGTCACTAGTCAACTAAACATTTTTTTCTGAGTGACTTCTTTACCTCCAGAGAACTGTTTTTTTCTATTCCTGACAGAAACTTGACTTTCTGTTGGAGAGCAGATCCATTTTCTGAACTTCTCCCTCATGGCTCTACTTTCTTTAGCTCTCCATGAACCACTGGTAAAGAAGGTGGATTAGCCTCAGTTTTTAAATCCAGTTTTAACAGTTTGGTGTCCTTTGGAATCAGTGTGTGCACTCTAGACCTCAGTGGACCTTTTTGATTGGATCCGCTACCTATTCTGTTCACTGTTCTGATATCAGGTAGGAAGGAGCATACTGCATCTTCTGTGCCTACTATGGCAAGTGCAATTAACTCCTCAACTGTGCTATGTTTCTTCACCAGTTTAATGACAACATATCCTGCAGCCCACAGTTCTGTTATGCATATTTTGAATTCTGTTTTTTAACTCTACTTGTACTGATATTCTGAAATCAGTTTCTCCACTAAAGCTCAAACAAAGTTTCCTTCTGACCTGAGGCTGAATGAAATCACCAGCTCTTTCAGACAAAAATGCAGATGTGCTCAGAGAAAATGGAGAAAGGGCATACTACAGGTTTCACAGGACATCCTTTAAGAGAGCTTATTAAATTATTAGAAGCCAGTTAAATGTATCTTCAAGTCTTGTGCATGAATGAGTATTAAACAGAGCAGTAGAAAAGTAGGTAGATTGGGGCACAGACTGTAGAGATTGTAATGCTTTACCATTCTATCGCCAAAATACTAAGTATTTTACCAGTCAGTCTAGATCCAAACCTAAACTATGATTTTGAACAATGGGCAGTACCCAAAAAAATAAGTTTGCGATTACTGAGATGAGCCTCCTTACATAGTGGCTGAACTCTTCCTGAAGGACAAAGTGAAGAGTGTGGCTAATCAGGAGAAGCTCAGAATCTCTTTTCCTCCATATCAATAAAAAGCCAGCTGAGGTGGTTTTGGTATCTACGAAGAATGCCTTCTGGATACCTTTTTAAAAGGGTGTTTTAGGCATGGACCTTTACAAGGAGACCACCCGGAAGACTCAGAACCTGCTACAGAAAGTTTATTTTATTTTGGAAACTTTTCAAAATCTCTCTGGAAGAGCTTGAACTTAATGAGGTAGTTGGAAAGTTTGATGGTTGCCAATGTGACCAGTCCTAGCAGGAAATGATGAATGATTATCTCAGAAGGCTATTTGTCATAGTATTAACATATAATTTTGTTGTGTTCTGGTTTTTATTTTCAAACTTTATTCTTTCAGACTCTTGAAGAGAATATAATGTCTTTTGTGAAGAATGAGCTAAAGAGGCTCTTGACAGTTCTTCATCCAGATCACTCAACATATTCAGGCAGTCAGAGGAATGTTGAGGAGTTGCTGCAGGGAGCCAATGAAGAGCAGAGGGAGAGTACCAAAGAGGCATTTTTAAACATCACACTGAACTTCCTGAGGACGATGAAGCAGGAACAGTTGGCTGATGTATTGTACAGCAGTAAGAGATCTTTAATGAGTACAACATTGTCAGGGTTTGTTTAAAGCCTACCTAATGTTCTTTGTCTCTTAATCTTTCAGAAACTATTGCACCACTGTGCATAAGTAAACTGAAATTTAACCTGAAGGAAAGGTTCCAGTGTGTGTTTGAGGGGATTGCTAAAGCAGGAAACACAACTCTTCTGAATCAGATCTACACAGAGCTCTACATCACAGAGGGAGGGACTGGAGAGGTCAATGATGAACATGAGGTCAGACAGATTGAAACAGTATCCAGGAAACCACACACACCAGAAACAATCATCAGACAAGAAGACATCTTTAAACTCCCACCTGGAAGACACGAATCAATCAGAACAGTGATGACAAAGGGAGTAGCAGGCATTGGGAAAACAGTCTTATCACAGAAGTTCATTTTGGACTGGGCTGAAGACAAAGCCAACCAAGACATCCAGTTCATGTTTCCATTCACTTTCAGAGAGCTGAACATGCTGAAAGAGAAGAAGTTCAGCTTGGTGGAACTTGTTCATCACTTCTTTACTGAAACCAAAGAAATGTGCAACTTTGAACACTTACAGGTTGCATTCATCTTTGATGGTCTGGATGAGTGTCGACTTCCTCTGGACTTCCACAACAATCAGATCCTGACTGATATTACAGAGTCCACCTCAGTGGATGTGCTGCTGACAAACCTCATCAGGGGGAAACTGATTCCCTCTGCTCGCCTCTGGATAACCACACGACCTGCAGCAGCCAATCAGATCCCTGCTGTCTGTGTTGGCATGGTGACAGAGGTCAGAGGCTTCACTGACCCACAGAAGGAGGAGTACTTCAGGAAGAGATTCAGAGATGAGGAGCAGGCCAGCAGGATCATCTCCAACATCAAGATGTCACAAAGCCTCCACATCATGTGCCACATCCCAGTCTTCTGCTGGATCACTGCTACAGTTCTGGAGGATGTGTTGAAAAGCAGAGAGGAAGGAACGCTGCCCAATACCCTGACTACGATGTACATCCACTTCCTGCTGGTTCAGACCAAAGTCAAGAAGGTCAAGTATGACGGAGGAGCGGAGACAGATCCACACTGGAGTCCAGAGAGCAGGATAATAATTGAGTTTCTAGGAAAACTGGCTTTTGAGCAGCTACAGAAAGGAAACCTGATCTTCTATGAATCAGACTTGACAGAGTGTGGCATCGATGTCAGAGCTGCCTCAGTGTACTCAGGAGTGTTCACACAGATCTTTAAAGAGGAGTCAGGGCTGTACCAAGACAAGGTGTTCTGCTTCGTCCATCTGAGTGTTCAGGAGTTTCTGGCTGCTCTTCACGTCCATGAGACATTCATCAAGTCTGGGGTCAATTTGATGGAAAAGTCACAAAAATCCCCTAAGTACAAAGCAATAAAAGCCTTTTTAGCAGTGACAAACTTCTACCAGTGTGCTGTTGATGTGGCCCTACAAAGTCCAAATGGACACCTGGACTTGTTCCTCCGCTTCCTGCTGGGCCTTTCACTGCAGACCAATCAGACTCTCCTACGAGGTCTGCTGACACAGGTGGAGTGTAGCTATCTTATAAGGCAGGAAATAGTTGATTACATCAAGAAGAAAATTGACAAAAATCCCTCTCCAGAGAAATGCATCAATCTGTTCCACTGTCTAAATGAACTGAAAGATCGTTCTCTAGTGGAGGAGATCCAGAAGTCCCTGAGATCAGGACGTCTCTCCGCAGATAAACTGTCTCCTGCTCAGTGGTCAGCTCTGGTTTTCATCTTACTGACATCAGAAAAAGATCTGGATGTGTTTGACCTGAAGAAATATTCTGCTTCAGAGGAGGCTCTTATGAGGCTGTTGCGAGTAGTTAAAGTCTCCAACAAAGCTATGTACGTTCACAAACATCAAACTTCGTCTATTCTTCATCATCATAGGAAGTTAACTTCATTTTTTTCTGTTTTATGTCAATGTGTTTTCAGTTTGAGTGGCTGTAACCTTTCAGAGAGAAGCTGTGAAGCCTTGGCTTCAATCCTTAGCTCTAAGTCCTCCAGTCTGAAAGAACTGGACCTGAGTAACAACAACCTAAGGAATTCAGGCGTGATGAAACTGTGTGTTGGACTGCAGAATCCATATTGCACATTGGAAACTCTCAGGTCAGGAATTCCATTTTTAAATAATTAATAATAATAATATGAGTAAAAAACAACAAACATAATGTAATTATGAATCACAAGACTGAATGAAATAATCAAAAATTGTCTATGGTTGATTTTTAAAGGCTTTCAGGATGTCTGATCACAGATGAAGGATGTGCTTCTCTGGCCTCAGCCCTGACCTCCAACCCTTCACATCTGAGAGAGCTGGACCTGAGTTATAATCATCCAGGAGATGCAGGAGTGAAGCTCCTTTCTGCTGGTCCACATTGGAGATTAGATTCTCTTGGGTACAAAGTGCTGCAACTTATGGTTATCTGATCCTCACATTAATTTCACCATAGCCTAGTTTCATACAGAAAACAGTTTTGCCCACTTTTGAAACATGTTCACTCATAACTCTCAATCAGCATTTTCAAACTGGTCTGCAACCTTTCACTTGAAGTCTAATTTGTTCCCTGGTGGCCTGGGATCTTGAATGCTCTGTGTAATATCTTAGCTGTTCATAGGACATCACACTGCTTCAGAGATTTTAGAGGTTCTTTCTGGGAGTGCTCTTGTGACCACTGGCACCACTGAGGTCTTGACTCTCTGCAATTTCTCGTATTCCCCTTTCAGTAGTGGGTATTTCTACAGCTTCTTGTGTTTTTTTTCCTTTTGAAGTTGTCATTTGGTGACTGTAACTACATTTATCAGCAATATCATCTTATGTTGGACACCACTATGTCTGGTTGGTTAGCCATTGCTTGCTTGTCCACATAGATCTAAAAGTCCTGTCATTCTTCACTACCCTTGAAGGAATCTCCGACTTTGACTTCCAACCTGTACTTGGCACAGACTCACACGAGTGACACATAAATAATGCAATGCCAATCACATGATGCCTGGATTAACAAGGCCTGTATCAGATGTTGAGGAACAAGGGATTTTATTGAAAAATGACTACTGGAACAAGAGATTCTTGGACGTTGCAGAGACCATGTCACTGTTACAGTGCTACTATAATAGTGGCTATAGAGGCTGTGGCAGCTATTGAAACTTTGAAACTCAACAACCAGGCTGACAAAGAAACAACTTCTGATCCATTGTTCCTGATCAAAAATTTTCTATAGCCCATTTCTTATCAGAATGACCTCAATCCTCAACAACTGATGCAGATCTTGTTTTTTAAACATGGGATCACAAACCAATGTTGTTGGAGGTTACCTTGATTGAAGTTTGAACCCCTAACCTCTTGTTTCAAAGCCAGGCAGCAATACTACTGTTCTGACCTACCAGCTTGTTTCTAAACAGGATCCAAGTTCCTGGTTTTGCAAAAATGTCCCTTGGACATAACGGCAGGATGTGAGATAGAGGCAAAAAAAAAAAAAAAAAAAAAAACATATAAGGAACACCATAACCACATGACTGAAATAGTGTACAGGAACATTTGAATCAAGTATAAACTGAAAGTCCCAGAATCAATGCATAAGGCTGCATCAAGAGTGGTGGAAAAATGTCACCACCCTTCCAGACCAAAAAACAGGTGAGGGCTAACCAACCAGCTATTGTGGTGGTCTACAAACTAAAGAAATGATAGATGCAGCAATCTCAAAAGACTGTAATGTCAAAAAGAAGGACCACAAGAAGTTTATGAAATACCAAAAGCCGAGAGAGCAAAAAAATGATGTTATGGAAGGTCAACGCTCCAGTGGTGCTAGAGGTTGGAGCACACGAGACTCCAGCAGATCCCAAGAACAACCTTAAAAATCCCTGTCCAAATGAGTGCAGTCATAGGAACTAGGAAAAGCTAAAGTACTGTGCAGAACCTTCAAGCTCCCAAGCCACAGGCGGAGGACCTGAGTATGAAGTGAAGTGGAACCGCTAACTCATAGGATGTTACAGATTATGACCAGAGAAGGATTCAGGGGTGGGGAACACCGCACAGTCGATCAATGGCTGACCCGTCCCATCTTTAAAATCAATCTTTGCCTCCCAATGTCTCAGTAACGCCACCAACATTAAAAAGGACAGTTCACACCATGCTTCCCACCTCTCTGAGTTGTTCCCATCAGACAGGCGCTACAGGTTCATCAGGACCTGGACCACCAGTCTCAGGGACAGTTTTTTTCCTCAAGCCATTGCACTCTTGAACACACACATGCATTGACATAGTTATTTACTTCTTAAACTTTTTTATACATTCAATGTGCATGTGTTATGCTATGATGTTCACCAAACAGGTGAACTGTACAGGCACCTTGGGAGAATCTCTGCTATTTTGTTGTACTTGAGACATTGACAAATAAAGCTTCATTCATTCATTTGCATATTCATTCATTCAATCATTCATTCATTTATTCATTCATTACAGTGAAACAGGTGATATTTTGGTGTTCAATGAAAACTGCAACTTGTCTTTGTCATACTTATGTGAATACGTTTTTTTAACGAGTTTTATCTTAAATGTGAGAGGTTTCATTCAGTGCATGCATAGCAGGTTGCACCTCTCCAAACGCTGAGCAAATTTCTACTTTTCTCCTCAGTTTGGACCATGGTGGAGCATGGACACTGCAAGAAGGACTATGGAAGTGTAAGTATGTTTTTTCCCAAACATATAAAACACAAAGAACTACATTTAATAGAGATTTCTCTTGAATTATGTATGTCACAGCTGCCGTCTTGTTATTGCAGATGCTTCTCGGCTCACTCTGGATTCAAATACAGCACACAGATTCCTCAAACTGTCAGTCAACAAAAGAAAGGTGACAGTGACTGCAGAGCAGCAGCCATATCATGATCATCCTGAGAGGTTTGACCACTGGCATCAGCTGCTCTGTATAGACGGTCTAACTGGGCGCCATTCCTGGGAGGTGGCATGCGAAGGAATGGTGTGCATTGGAGTGACTTACAGAGGAATTGGCAGGAAAGGAGACGACCCTGGCTCCCTGCTCGGAGGGAACGATCGGTCCTGGAGTCTGTACTGGTCAGGGAAGGATTACTTTGTTTTTCACAACAACAAGAAAAAGAACATTTATCCATCTTCTTCTACCTCCAACAGAGTAGTAGTGTATCTGGACTGGCCCTCTGGAATTTTGTCCTTCTACAGAGTTTCCTCAGATGCACTGATCCACCTCCACACCTTCAGCACCATGTTCACAGAAGCAGTCTACCCTGCTTTTAGGGTTGGGTTTGAGCCCAGTTATTTTGAATCTTCAGTGTCTCTTTGTGAGCTGAAGTAGGATCAGTTTATTTTATTTTTTACATTTTGACAAAAATCTATATTAGGTCTATTTCAAGTATTTCTACAGCGTAAACTAATTGTTCAGAAAAATGTTCTTCATGCTGTTTCATTCTTTGCTTATTTTTGTGTCATATCATTTGTGTTTTTACAAAACTGTGAATGGTGGATGGTGGCACAGTGGCAGAACTGTTGCCCCTAAAGGAAAAGGACGCCAGATCAAATCCCAGCCGGTGCCCTTTCTGGGTAGAGGTTCTCTCTGTACATGCGTGGGTTTTCTCTGGATACTCCGGTTTCCTCTCATAGACCAAAGACATGTATGTTAGTCTGATTGGTAACTCTAAATTGTCTTTAGATGAGTCAGGGAGTGAATGGTTGTTTGTCTCATTTGTCTATGTGTCCATGTAATGGACTTGCGACCTGTCCAGGGTGTTCCCCGCTTTTCACACAGAGACTGCTGAATATGGGCACCAGTGACCCTCACGACCCTGAAAGAAAGAAGCGAATAAAGATGATAGCTGGATGAATGTGAACAGTCGATATTCTTGTTTGTATTGTCACACAAACCAATTTATTAAAAAAGACATTAAGTTTTACTAAAAACAAGCAGCTGTGGCTGAGTGGTTAGAACAGTCGTCCTCCAGTGGGAGAGTTGGGGGTTTGATTCTACCAGCAGTCGCTTGTTGAAGTGTCCCTGGGCAAGACACTGAACCCCTCATTACCTGATTTGTGTCCTAGGGGTTCCCAGCCCTGGTCCTTGAGGAACGCCATCCTGCATGTTTTAGCTGTTTCTTTGCACCAACACATCTGATTTTAATTAATAGGTGATTAACAGGCTTCTACAGAACATGAGGAAGTAATAAAATCACTGAATCAGGTGTGATGGAGCAGGGTAACAGCACATGTCTACATGTCTCTGCTTGAGTGCAGCTACAGCGTGCGCTCTCAGGACATTATTACCTGCAGTGTTCCCTCAGTGGAGACTGAACGTGGCAAAAGGGCCTTCTCCTACTTTGCTCCTGTTTCCTGGAATATCTTGCAAAAAGATCTGAACTTCTCGACCTTGACCTCTCTAAGTGGCTTTAAGAATCTGTTGGATTCCTGGCAAGGACCAATACAGACATGATCCTGTTTTTAGTTTTCTACATTTGCCTTATAATCTAGCTGTTTTTGCTACTTTTTTTGCCATCTTATTTTAATTTGTAAAAAATAAAAAATCTGTATGCCTCTTTTATAATTGTCTATTGTTGTCGCTGTTGTCCATTGTTGTCATCATTCTTTGTTGAAATCAGGCCTCTCTTGTAAATGAGTCCTCAAGGCTCAATGGGATTAACATGTCTAAATAAAGGTTGAATGAAAAAACATGCAAGATGGTGTTCCTCAAGGACCAGTGTTGGGAACCACTGTTCTAAATCACTGTTTAGTCTCTTTAGAAGGATTTGTTCAGTTAGCTTTGTAGAAATCTAGTAGAGCAGCGCTGTATGAATATGTGTGTGGAGGTAAAGAAGGGATTGCGTTGTAAAGTGTTTTGAGTATCTTGACTAGATAGAAAGGAACTATTTAAGTACAGTCCGTTTACCGTTAACCATTTACAAGCAGAAGTTTACCTGAATTTACTGTATAAATAAACATAAGTTTTAGTTTTCCAGTTAATATATTTTCTCTTGGTGATGTTTGAACTGTAGACATCTGCAGACAGTATTGATCTCAATCTTTAAACAAACGGACACAAACTGCACATATTCAAAGAGTTATGCAAAGATTATACACCTGTTCGGAGTAATTTTTCAGTCCCCTTTTTGATTTACAAAAAGGATTCACTTCCTTGATATTTTCCCATTATCACACACAGACGATACTTTTAACAAGCACACGGTTGTGTCTTTGTTGTGCTTTCAGTAAAGATAAAAATCTACATGCAAATGTTTTACATGGATCCGTTTTTTTTTTTTTCAGAATGTGAAAGTTTTGAAGCTGTCATGAAAATAAAACTAAAACAAACACACTAACTGAAAAACAATCTGATTCTTCTCGTGGGAATCAGTTAGCCGCCTCTCTCCATTGATTGTCGAGTGTGGGCTTGTATGGTAAGAAGGCGGTCCTGCAGCGTCAGTCATTCTGTACAGAGGTCAGAACTGAACACAGACACACAAACATTTGTGTACAACAGCTGCAGAGACACTTGGGAATTTGTAGGCAGAGAAACTGAAAACTCAGACTCCGAGGAAATGGAGGAGAAGAAAGCTGTTTTGTTCAACTTCTGGGGGGTTGTCACTACGTCCAGACCTGAATCTGTTATCAACAAGCTGGAGGAGCTGCACAACCTGCAGGGGTGAGGGGAGACTCTTACGCAACATATTTGCTTTCAGTTTGATTTAATTAAAAACTGTTTAAAGTCAATTATAGAACATATCTAGACGTACTTCTTCTCTGTAAAGTTGGGACTGCATGCACTAGAGCAGAAAAAACATTAAATTTAAATTCAGTTCAATTTAAATTAAGTTTTTCATTCATTGAAACGACTTTGAGTGTCCAGATTTAGAAAAAAATGAACATGACTAGCCTGTATGGACCAAAAAACAGAGAAGGAGAAGATAAATGAGGCATAAAAAGGCTAAAAGAATGCATACAAACCATAGAGGACACAAAAGGACACAAAAGACAAAATGGACAAAAGGAGACTAAAAGGACATAAAGAGTAAAAAAAGGAAATAAACAGAGAAAAAGGATACGAGACACAAAAAATAACACAGGACAAAATGAAGCACAAAGAGACAAGAAAGCATACAGTAAGTATTTTTATATGTGTATGTATATATATATATATATATATATATATATATATATATATATATTAGGGCATTAACAGAGTACTCGAGTAATCTACACATCGATTGCTAGGACATCTATCGAGGTTAAAAATGTAACGTCGAGTATCCGTAGTGACGTCATATTATGTGACCACCGTATGACCGTAGGGGGCGGTGTTGCACTGTTGCAGGTCACAGAATATGGTGTAACACCGGGTCCAATCCACCGAACCAGAACCAGCTTCCTCTGACCTTGTTTCACAAACAAAAAGCAAAAAATATTAATCTCTAAACATATAAAAAAAATCTATAAACATATTAATCTCTAAAACTAAACTTAATGCGCACCACAGCTGGCGGTGGTGCAGGGTGGTCGACCCCCCCCCACCCCCCCACCACTATTTTAAGTTTCGTTTTTGACGTACTGCACGTTTCTTCACGTTTGCAGTTTAATAATAATAACTAATAGTTTTTCCTGTGACTTATTTGCAGTATGATAAATGGTAGGAGCATAATATACGCTCCCAATGTTTTGTTGGTCTTTGGTTTTTTTTTGTAAATAATTATCTTTTTTTGCGGTTTTATTTATTTATTTATTTTTGTATCTTGAGATCTATGACATCATCAAATACTTGAGTTCTACTCGGGTTTTATTATGTTAATGTCGAGTTTAAAAATTATATTCTCGTTCAACCCCTAATATATATATATATATATATATATACACACACACACACACACATATACACTAATATGTATAATTGGCCGATACCAATACCACTTGATAATATAGTGCATGATGCACTATATTATCAAGTGGAATCGATTCGTTCATGAAGAAAGAGAAACTGCACCGCCTGAACTAATGTTTCATAGTAAAAGTGGGGGGGTTCAAATGAACGTTTTTTTAATGTGGGGGGGACACGTCCCCTTCACATAAAATGGTTGACGCCTACGAGTGCATCCCTAGTTGAAATATAGCTGACAGTTTGCTGAAGAACCCAAAGTCCAAAAAATCTCTACAATAAACTTTAAACAAGAAAATAAGTGGGAATGCTAGCTCAAACTTTGCAAAACTTTGCGTTTTAGTTGTGGAATGCTGTTTGCATAGCTCTGTCCGTTTTTTTTTAGTTTTCCTGTTGTTGCTCTGGGGTTTAGTCACAACGCTGCAGATTCAGTCAATAAAAAAAAGAAGTACGCTGACCATTATGTTCAACCAGTTTCTGCTCAAAGTCCAAAATACAAGACTTCACTTTAACTAAATGGGCTTAGATTTGATGCAACTAACATTTGATACATCTTGTAACAGTTCAAATTCAATTAATTGCAATTAATGTGAATGTATGTTCAACATTTTCTTTTAATTTTTTTTACTATTTTACACTAAGACTTCATACCAGCTTGGCCACTTGTGATTCTTGTGTCAGAATATTGTCACTTTGCATCTTTGAGCTTTATATATTGGGATTCTCAGAGGTGTTCTGTCCAGTGTGGCGTCCAAGAAAGATGGAGCCATGATGCGAGCAGAAAGAGGAAGTCTGACTCTGACACAGGTTGGTTTTATGCCACATCTCTCACATTCAGGTTAAGTTGAATTCTTTGTTGAAGGTTCTAAACAATTAATCAGACAGGGGTAAAGGAAATAATCATTAAAATCATCAGCACTGGCAAATTAATTGATCTCCTATTTAGTAGGCTCAGTGAAATACTTCTTTTCTCAGAATGTATACACATTAAAAACTGCTGGGTTGTTTTTACTTTGTATAACTGAGTTACTGATTTAAAAGTATTGGGTCACAGGTTGTATTTGTCTGACCAAATATTGGGTCAAACTGGCCCAGTGGTTTGACCAGAGATTAGCTGTGTCCTTCTTCACAGTCCACCAGTTTAAGCCAGAAGTTGACCAAATTGGACCCAACTGAACCTCTGCTTTATGATGTAATAAGTAAAGATAACAAATTGTAGGAAGATGTTTAACTTGGTTGGCTTTGTTATTAACTTCAATTTGTACTCAACGGTGTGTTTGATTTCTTAAAAAAAAATAAAAATAATTAATGCTGGCTAGCTGAAGCCAATTGTAATTAGCACCAGCTAGCTATAGCACCAACCCAAGTTTTAATCAGGTTATCTAATCAGGCAGATTTAGTTTTTAGTTTTTAGAAGCTCTAATGTAACAAATTAGTGATTCTAACCCATTTTTGGTGGAAAACCTGGCCAAGTATGCGAGGTTTAAGTGATAACCTTCTGAGTTCAAACAAAGTTCTGGCTTATAATGTTGGAATGTGAAGAATGACACCGCTCATCCCAGACAGAACCATTAAGCCAACCCATAGCTCAACAGCATAAACTAAGCACTTAAACCTCGCATACTTGCCCAGGGTTCACACCAAAAATGGGTTATTTCTTACTTAATTATACATATACATAAATTTATTGTCCAAAACATTCCATGAAATGGAGACTTTGTTATCTGGCTCATATTTGACTCATACATACAAAGTACAAAACAACACAAGTTCAAAATGCCTTAAAACTTTTATAAATCTTTGCTAAACCAATAAAAACATTCTAAAATACACGATTCATTAAAAATTAAAAAACATCTCAGCAGACAATGGTTTGTCATGTGAGGCTACGTTTAAATAGGACCCTATTAAGGATAGTCACAGCAGAGGGAACAAATGACTTTTGTACCCATTTTTCTTTACTAGAGGAACCACCAGTCTTCTGCCAGATGGTACCAACCTGAATAATGGTTACAGTGGATGATTCAATTCAATTCAACTTTTATTTAAACAGATAAGTCACACTGAGCCACTGAAAAGTTCATGGAATTTCTCGGTAGGAGGGAAGGGAGGAGGTAGAGCATCAGGTTTACAAAACTTCCAGGTGAATTGAGATAAGATGGCCTGTCAAGGCCAGTCAGGGAGTCAAATTCAGATAAACACAATTGTTTTGGTGACAGGCAGAACTTTAATGACATCTTCCTTGAGTCTGTGTTGGTCCACTCAGTTCCAAAATGCCCAAATTAAATAGCTACACCAATGGACCGTGCCTGAAAATAATCCCCGAGATCTTATCCATCCTGCCAAAAGCAATTGAGTCTGGGTGCTCGAGGTACAAACCAAGCCATCATAAGGCAAGCAGCCTGATCGGGTCCAAATTTGCTGCAGACCACTTCCTTGATTGTTGATAGACCAGGAACCAGTTATCATAAATCCAGTTATATATGTGTCCTTAAAATCAATCAATGACAGCAGAGATAGACACGTCATCAAGTCTTCAAAGTCGATGAGATATCCAGCTGCGTGCGTGCCAACAGGGAAAATCGGCTCGCCTAAAGCCGGTCTTCTCTTCAAAGAAATGTTATCAATTGCGTTGAGGGACCAACTGACCAAATCCATATATTATAATTCAGAAGATTTGTAGAAGAGAGGTTCTAAGCAATTTCACAGACAGGACAGAGCAAAGCAAAGTGGAGAGGGAGAGGAGGAGACATCCGCCCTTGACAAGAGCAAGTGTTGAAATGATGAGTTGGGTCATTGTTAATCTGTATTGCCTTAATTTTCCAAAACCTGACTATACTGATCTATAATTTGCATTTGTTGATGAACAATTATTTTATTACCTAGTTTGACCACCCGGGACAACTTGTTCATGTCTCTGGCTAGGAGATTCCCATACCATGCGACAATATTAAAGGAAACAACATTTTCAACCAGTGACACCAGTTGCAAAGTACTATATGTTTTGCTTGCATTGAAGCCTATCCTTAGCTTATATAGAAGGTGGAGATGCTGTCTGGCTTTTTTGTAAATACAGTCAGTGTTGGACTGAAAGGTCAACTTGTTGTCAGTTATTGGTCTGAGGTATTTAAATTCAGTCACCTGGCATCAGTTTTAGTGTGGACATACATTCTGTTCAAAACACCACATGTCCTGTATGTCCACTATGTCTAACTACATTGTCCCTGATAAGTAAAGACTAAATTAAACTGAAAGGCTGGAGGTGTGTGTGTTTATATGCAGATGATTCCAGAGTTTGAGGCAGAGTGTGTGAAGGAGGCACAGGGCAGAGGTGTAACGTTGCCGCCTGGTTGGTCCGCCCAAGTCCTGCTGGAGGAGCTCAGGAAGGAGATGATGGATGTCAGAGATGCAGTGATAAAGATGGCCACCAGTCTGCGGCAAAACGGTTTGCAAAATCCTTACCTGTATCCTTTGAACGCAATTATTCAAGTTTATTTTGACAACCCTGAGGATTATTGCATGTAGTCCATGTATTGTCTTTAAGACACTAAGATGCTCATTTTGTGCTATTTGAACTTTTCTTTTCACTTCTGTTTTCTGAGGTTTAAATGCAAGATGGCCGCCACAGCTAGCTACATAGCATGAGATGTGTTAATGCTCAGCGTATGTGAGGATAACTCTCAGCCACTGCCTCATAAACTTGACCTCATTACTGTAATTTGGAGCAAGTTATAGCTAGTTTCATTGGCAAAGGTAGATCAGCTGTGGCAGCCATCTTGGGTTGACTCCAAATGCCAATCGGCTGTAGATGTACGCACAACTCTTATGAGTTTCATTCAAATCGATCCCATGTTGTGTGAGATATTTTGCTAAAAGATTTGGCCGACTCCAAATATGTTAATCACTAACAGATGACGATGTAACCTTTGATTTAAAGGAGTAATGACAGCCGTGCTGGCCAATCAGTGGATCGACGACAGCACCTTTAGAGACACCTCGGCTCGCCTCCTCTGTCTGTTGGGGCGCCATTTTAACCTGGTCCTCCAGTCCTGTCACTCGGGTCATAGGGTCCCCGAGCCCGCCATGTTCAACTCTGCTTTGCAGCGGCTGGGAGTCTCGTCACAGCAGGTGGGGGACGAGCCTACACAAAATTATGATTGGTTCAGGAGGGGAAGTCTGAGTTAATCACTTCCTGTTTAGGCTGTGTGGCTCGATGTGGATGAGGAGGGTGTGAAGGCAGCAGAGGCAGCAGGGATGAAGGCCATTCTGGTGGAAAATCTGGAAGCCGCGTTGGAAAAACTGTCCGACTTTACCAAAGTTCAGGTAGCAACAGAAGTTTTAACACGTGTGGTGCATTTTTGTACAGATTAAATATAAACGAATAAATATCACTTACTTAAATGCTAGAATTTTATAATCTGGCTCACTGTCAAATTCAGAATATAATTCAAAATTTTACTTCTCACCTACAAAGCCCTCAACAACCTAGCTCTGTGTTATATTACAGATCTTATTGTTCCATATTTTCCTTTGCTCTCAGACTGCAGGCTTACTTGCAGTTCCTAGAGTTCACAAAACCAGAATGAGAGGAACCAACTTCCAGTTTCTGTCCATAAGGCTGGCATATTGCCAAAGACGTTCCTTTTTGATAAATCCTATAGTTAGGGTTGGCTTGTTATGCTGCTATAAGCTTAGACTACTAGACAACAAATTGTCCATGTTTCTTAAAATAAATTGTTACAACTGAATAGTTTTCATCTGATACTATTTCTATCCCACCATGTGATTCTTGACCTGCCATTGTGTATCTGTTCCTCCTTCCTGTTCCTCTCTAACTCAGCCGGTCGAAGCAGATGGCCGCTTGTCCTGAGCCTGGTTCTGCTGGCTCATGAGGGAGTTTTTCCTTTCCACTGTCGCCTTCATGCTTGCTCAAGATGAGAGTCTGCGATGGAGTTAAACTCAAAGCAGTCTGCTCCTCAGATAAATAGTGTTAACTCACACTTTATGCAAATGAATGTTTCTGTTCAGTGCCCTGAGATGACTCCTGTTGTGACTTGGAGCTACATAAATAAACTGAATTGAACTGAATTGAATTAAAGCACACCTGTTTTGTGTGTTTCCAGCTTGTTGGAGCAGAAAGTCCTCCACTGCCCTGCAGTCCTGACCAAGTGTCTCATGGATACGTCCCAATCAGAGTAAACGTCTGAATCACTGTCAGCAGCTCACAGAGGGAATGCTGACTCAGCACTGTTGTTCACATGTTTTATTTTTACGTTTCGTTTTTTTTCACATCTTGGTACTTCAGCATACTTCGTGCTCTCTTAGCCGTTCGTACATCAAAATGTTCAGCTCGTTCCGGAGATGTCGATGATGTCTGTTTTGTAACTTTTTTTAATTTTCAAATTATTGATTTTTAAACTGTTTTTACAGAGAAATACATTAAGTATTGATAATAATTTGGTGCTTTTAGTTGGCATTTTACAAATTTCAGCTCGTAGCTTGTGTTGTGCAATTTTTAGGATGCACTTTGCTATCTGTAGTATTTTATTTATTTTTTTGCTTCTTTTAGCTAATGTTGAGCCATAGCATTTAACTACACTGCAAATATAGTCCATCTAACCTAGTCTTACATTCTTATATCCAGTCAAAAAGGATTTTTTGATCTTGTTTTGAGACTTATATGCTAAACAAGAGCAGAAAGTGTTAGATTATTACTCTTGTTTTGAGAATATACATCTTTTATTTCTTACTTAGTTACCAAATCCTAAAAATAGTTACTTTACATGCATATTAAGCAAAATTGTATCACAGAGACATGTGTGAGATCATACTGTATGTTTAAAAACAATTTTTAGCTGTAAAAACTTGTTTCAAGACCACCCAGTAACAATTGCTCAACACATTTATTTCTGATCTTTACAAAGCTGCAGGGTAGCATTACTTTTTTACAACATATACAATATACATATACAATAACAAATCACATGTATGATATTATGAACATACATCTTCCACTGTTTCAAGGTTATTCATTTTAATTTTTAAGTGCAATGACATCATCAAGGTTATATTTTGTCAAAACATACACACTGCTATTGAAACTGACTGGATAATATGATGTATGATCAACTAGCTTTAAAGCATCTATAAATTCAGTGGCCTGGGCAAGATTAGGCACTGTAACTTCATAAGCTAAAAGATCTTTATTCCAACCCACAGTTTCATAAAGCTGGTATTCAAAACAGTATAATGAACTGTTTATCACAAAAATGTTCTTTATAAGTCCAAAAACAGGAACTGTACCATTTGCATTGGTGATTATTAGAGACCTTTCACTTATATATTTGTTCCCATTAAGAATAAGCCACTTTACTTTGACTCCATGTTGCATGCCAAAAAATCCCCAAAAAATCTCTCATCTTCTCGGAAATGTACTCCATATTTGTTACTTCAGAGACAGGACCCAATTCTTTTCCATGTGCAAAAATTGGATGATGAGTACCCATTTCATTTTGACAGCATTCAAAAAGCACATTATGGTTCACAAGTGACTTACAGACATTTTTGAAGTTCAGTTTAGATGACCACTGTTTAAAAAACAGTGCTTTGATTCAAACCGCGTGCACATGTGCCTTACTAAAGGCCCCAAATGAAGAATTTGAGCAGGGATATGCAGCATGTAATGTTGCTTAGGTATTACATTATTCTCATGAAAAAGTTGCTTAAACATTTTCAAATGCTGTTCAATCATACTTTTCAGTTTTAACACACTCTGTACAGACAAAACAGGGGCAAAAAGTATCTGAACTATCTCAACTAAGTCCAAAACAAACTGAACATATTCATTTTTTCTATAGTATTGAGCAGAAAAGGAATGATCTTCAACAATATCAACATTTGCCCTGAAGACTGTTTAAGTTTATTGTCATTCGATGCAAGGGTACTGACACTAAAGGGGCATGGCTTGTCACGTATGTCTATGGGTGACAAAGGAAAACTTTGCATGGCTGAATTGAACACATCTAACTCCATCTCCCCAGACAGAACAAGATATTTTAACACGCACTTAATTAAAACCATAAATTGAACTCTTGGCGGGCACATCCGTGAAAGTGGGCAATACCAAGTCTTAAGGGGGTGGGTTATACCAACACTGTCGTTAACTTGCATAGTAATATCTTTAAAAAGGGGATTACAACAGGCATAATATTTAATGTAGAATTTATAGTTCTACTATTACATTATTATGCACATCATTTTCACTTTTTATAAGCTTTAAACAGACTGCCATGTTCTGCACCCATTTCCCCCTCCTTGCCCTCATTTGGTTGCGTCTGTCGGAGTCCTGTATCGTTTGGCAGCAGAGAGAAGCAGCACGTGCACCGAACTCAGCTAAGGTAATGAGACATGTTTTTATTAAATCTAGATTTTTTTCCAGTTTTGATTTACTGCACTCATTACAGCCCGGTGACCATTAATGTTTGTTTTCATCAATTCTAATAGCGCACCATGAGTTGTTAGCTGACTTAAAACATGCTAGCTTGCTAGTTAGCTTGATGGTAATGAGGTTAAAAAATGACGATAGTTACAGTCTAAATGGACAATTTTATATTTTCTGTTGATAAAACCATTAAAACATGAGAATTATTTTTATTGAAATCCAGTTTAGTTTATGAAATTAAAGACAACAGGAAAAAATAAAACATCTGCAAAGTAATGGCATAATCTATATGTAAATTTGTTAATGACATCATAACTTATATATTTATTTTAAGATTAATTTAAATTTAATTATTTAATTAATTACTGTCTAACTGAATTGTTTGTTGTGCACACTGACACTGGTTTTAAATAATTAAACTATTTAATTTTTGTAAAGTCGATTTGTTTGCCCTGTCAAGTTGAATACTGTATACATTTAAAGGGATATATAACTTTATAATTCTGAAAGTTAACCATTTGTGTTTACAGCTGCCAACATAGATGAGGTCTTGCTCCAGACCCTCAGTCGTGATGATTTACGAGACCTTTTGCCAGCGCCAGAAAACTTTATGAGGAGGAAACTGTTGTGGGCTCATGTTCACAAAGAGGCACGTTTTTGCCACCTTTGATCTGAAAACACCTAGCACAACACATTTTGCTTGTAACTCCTGTAATAATAATTCTTTTCATTTTTTTTCCTTAGGATGAAAATCCCACCATATCAGATACAACTGGATCAAGTGAAACAGGAAGTGTTTCTTCACCTCAAGGAGCACCTCCCTCTACTGCAGGATAGTGGCCCTCAATTAAGGACCAGGAGTGTCCATCCCTGATATGCTGAATCTAGTTACTGATTGTGTTTTCCTTTTAGCCAACATGGATAGTATTGCATCACAGGCCAGGCATTACAAGACTCTGCAGGAGATGTATAAGAAGCCAAAGCCCAACCAAGATGCTGTCCGCCAAATCCTTGACCTTGAATTTCAATCAAGAAGAGCTTTCATCGACTGTGATGTTCTGAGAGAAGAAGATGGGGCAACAAAGATTCTTGAAGCATATCCATGTTTCAAAGAGATTCACAATGTAAGTGGTTTATTTTTTATTATGGCTTCTCAAAAAGAAAGCACTGCTGGAGGTGTTAATGCTTTCTTGCACCATAGGTGATGGGTGAGCTGTGGCGGATCCTGGATAAGGGCAACCTCACATTCCTCACAGAATTGAAGAAGAGATGGGAACACTTTTGCTCTATGGTTCAGTTTTACGGTGTTTGGAAGAAGGTGTTGAAGCCACCCAAGAACCTGGATGGAGGTTAGTAATTGTGCTGTCTTTCATACACCATGTTGCTCAGACATGACACCACATGTCATATATATATATATATATATATATATATATATATAAAATATATATATATATATATATATATATA